CGTCAGACCCAGGGGTAAACAGCTAAAAGAGAACCCTGGGCCTGTGCCCTTTCCGGGAAAAAAACATGATGGACCCACGAACCCGGAAAGGGATATAGACATGTGGAGCATGGACACGTTTTCACGATACCCAACTGGGCAACACCTCACGAAACATCCCACGAGACACTTCACGAAACATCCCACGAGACACCTCACGAAACATTCCACGAGACACCTCACGAAACATTCCACGAGACACCCCGCGAAACATCCCACTCAACCAAGGCGGTGTGGTCGTGCTGGGGAGTGGTCGTGCTGGGGTGTGGTCGTGCTGGGGGGTGGTCGTGCGTGCTGGGGGTGGTCGTGCTGGGGGGTCGTGGTGGTGTGCTGGGGGTGGTCGTGCTGGGGCGTGGTCGTGCTGGGGTGTGGTCGTGCTGTGGTGAGGTCGTGCTGGGGTGTGGTCGTGTGCTGGGGTGTGGTCTTGCTGGGGTGGGTCTGCTGGGGTGGGGTCCTGCTGGGGTGTGGTCGTGCTGGGGTGTGGTCGTGCTGGGGTGGGTGGGGTGGGGTCGTGCTGGGGTGGGGTCGTGCTGGGGTGTGGTCGTGCTGGGGTGTGGTCGTGCTGGGGTGTGGTCGTGCTAGGGTGGGGTCGTGCTGGGGTGGGGTCGTGCTGGGGTGTGGTCGTGCTGGGGTGTGGTCGTGCTGGGGTGTGGTCGTGCTGGGGCGTGGTCGTGCTGGGGTGGGGTCGTGCTGGGGTGGGGTCGTGCTGGGGTGTGGTCGTGCTGGGGTGGTCCGCACCCTGTGATTTATCGATCGGGTCGTGCTGGGGTGTGGTCGTGCTGGTGCTGGGGTGTGGTCGTGCTGGGGTGTGGTCGTGCTGGGGTGTGGTCGTGCTGGGGTGTGGTCGTGCTGGGGTGTGGTCGTGCTGGGGCGTGGTCGTGCTGGGCGTGGTCGTGCTGGGGTGTGGTCATGCTGGGGGTGTGGTCGTGCTGAGGTGTCCCGCACCCTGTGATTTATCGATCGGGATTTCAAAAACAAGCGTTTCGCCTGAGACATCCTCAAATTTTAATCCGCCGGCCTCCTTCGACCTCGATATTTATCAGGGAAAGAATCCGCCGGCCTCCTTCAAGTTGGGCACGGAGACATTGTTTACATAGGAAAAGGGAACCCTGGGCCTATGCCCTTTCCGGGAATAATTGAACACTTTTCCATTTTGTTTCCGCTTCCTCGGCGCTGTTCGGAGCTGTTTTTTGTTTGTGCCTCGCCCTCAGGGGTGTGAGATCTTCTGGACCCCCTGGGGGTTCTGGAGGCCTCCTGGAGGCCTGGAGAGCCGACGGAATGGTGTCTCGGGCTGCGCGGGAGCGTGTTGGGCCGTTCTTTACGTTCTGGGGGCTCCTTGGGATCGTCTTGGGCTGTCCTTGGGCGTCTTGGGGGACCCCGGGAAGCCGGGAGGCGCGGTACGGGCCAGATGTCAAAAAGGCCGTTGGGCGGTCGCGGGGCGGTCTTGGGAGTCTCTTCGGTCGTCTCTGGGCGTTGGAAACATGAAAAATTGAGAAAATCAAAAACTTCGAAACAAATGCGAATTCTATGGTTTTTGTTGCTCTCCGGGCTCTTTCGGGACGTCTCTCGGAGTTCTCGTGCAGTGTCTTGGAGGCGTCTGGAGGCCTCCTGGGAGGCGGGAGAGCCGTCCGCAGACTGTTTTGGACTGCTTGAGAGCATCTCCGGCTGTTCTTTTGCGCTCTGAGGGGTTATTGGGGCGGTCCCGGGGCGTCCTGGAGCGCTTTGGGAGCTCCCCGGGAGGTTGGGGGGCGCGGTACCGGGCGCCTCTTCGGCAATCTTGGGGGTTTCTTGGCCCGTCTTGGGCCTCTCGAACCTCTCTTGGGGCCTTTTGGAGGCCTCCCGGGAGCGCGGAGAGCCGTCCACAGGGTGTCTTGGACTGCTTGGGGGCGTCTTGGGCCGTTCTTTACGTTCTGGGGGCTTCTTGGGGTCGTCTTGGGCTGTCCTTGGGCGTCTCGGGGTCTCCCCAATAAGCCGGGAGGCGCGGTACCGGGATGTGTGGGATCTCTGAGGAGGAGTCCATTTTGGGGAGGAAAAAAAGAATTCTGGGAATTCCCTTTAAAAAAATCTCGATCTTCGAGGGTTGGAAGCGGGAAAACGTGAGAAGGCGATAAACATTAGCAGACAATTGGAAATCAACGACTTTACTCTCTTCGGGCTCTCTCGGGACAGCTCTCGCAACTCTCTTGGGCTGTTCTTGGAGCCTCGTCGGGGTCGTTTTGGGGCCTCTCAGGGATCGGGGGTGTGTTGGGGGCCTCTGGGGGTCCCGGAGGCCTTTCGGAGGTCTATGGAAGCCTCCTGCTCCTGCTCTTGGGCCCATCTTGGGCCTGTTCTGGGGTGGTCTGGGGCGTTCCTGAGCGCCTCTTCGGCGTCTTCGGCCGTCTTGGAGCCTTCTTGGCCCGTTTTGGGGCCGTCCTGAGGGTCTCTTGGGTGGTCTTGGGGCGGTCTTGGGCGGATCTTCGGCGTTCTTGGAGCGTTGGAAGCTCGAAAACGCGAGAAGGCCAAGAACATCGAAACACGTATGGAAATTGACGATTTGGGCCTCTTCGGGCCATCCCGGGACGCCTCTCGGACCTCTCTTGGGGTCCCGTGGAGGCCACCTAGAGAGCCGTCGGAAGGCTGACTTGGGCTGCTTGAGAGCGTCTTGGGCCATCCTTCCGCATTCTTGGGGCTCCTGGGAGGCGTCTTGGGCCCTCCTGGAGCGCTGTGGAGGCTCCCCGGAAAGGACGGGGGAGCGGTACCGGGAGCGTTCCCAAGATGCGGCGGGGAGGCGTGGGACCCGGAGCCGGGGGGTCGGTATTTGTAATATATATATATATATATATATATATATATATATATCACGCGGTTTCTCTCTCTCTCTCTCTCTCTCTCTCCCTCTCCCTCTCTCTCCCTCTCTTTCTCACCCCCTCTCCCCCACACATCCCACAAACATTTCAAAAGGAGGAAGGCGATGACAATCATCCTTGAGGTTATGATGTGTAATCGGTGCCGGTTTACTTCTCAAGTTGGGTCCTACTCGAAAGCCTTAGGAATATATTTGATCGTTTTTTCTAGCCAGCGATTTGCTTGGGAGGACATCCGCCGGGGCACTGCTTTACACTGAGGGCCACGGCGCTCGAATCAGACGATAACTCAGCTAAATAGACAAAACAATTCTCCTCCGAGGCTGTGGGCTGGCCTTGGGAAGGTGGAACATTGCTTGAGAGCGAACGGCGACAGTCGGAACGCTCATCATTCCCGTGCATCACTTCCATGATCGCTTTTTCTAGTCAATGACTTGCTTGGGGCAACACAGGACATCCGCCGGGGCACTGCTTTACACTGAGGGCCACGGCGCTCGAATCAGACGATAACTCCACACTTCAAAACGACATCCCGCCACCAAGCATTGTACTGAACATCGCTTATTTATAAAGTTGCCAGGCTCTTCTAATCTCTTTTTGGGAACTACTTTGGTGAAGAGTAGAGGCGAGGAAGGAGCAGAGAAGGGCAGGATAGGCACTCTTCAACTTCGTGGGAAACTGTCCATTAGCTTTGCCAGTTAGCTCAACGTGGGGTCTCCCAGTGAACTTACAGAGGCCCCGAGGCCCACGACAAACTAGATTATCGAAACCAGCATTTGGACGGCAGCACCAAAAACGTAAACAAGTGGCACGTGTGTGCCCAGGCTCATACAACAAGCTGAGGGGGCGTTTGAAGCAGGAGTGACATGCAACAGCGAAGTCGCACTCGAGCGCAAGTGGGGTTGCCACACCTTGCGATGTGTGTACCAGGGCCCCCCAGGAAGCCTCAGGAGGCCCGACTTGGATACCAGAAGAGGCTCCAGGAGGCCCCAGGATTGTGAGTGTTGTGTGTGTGTGTGTGATGTGTGCTTTGTGTGGTGCGTGCTTTTTGTGTGTTGTCGGTGTTGTGTGTATGTTATGTTTGTCTAGCGTGTGATGTGTTGGGCGTGATTTGTGTATATGTGTGCGCATGTAGTTCTGAAGCCCCAGGAGGCCCCAGGAGGCCCCAGGCGGCCTCAGCAGGCCCAGGAGAACTGCAGGAGGCTCCGAGGCGGGGTCTGGGGTACCAGAAGGTCCAGAAAGCCCCAGGAGTCCCCAGGAGGTTCCAGGAGGCCCCCAGGAGGCTCCGAGGAGGGGTCTGGGGCTAGATGTTGGGAGGATTTGTCATGCGAAACCGCCATTCTCTGAGAATCGGGGTCAAAATTATTGAAATTACAATGTGTTTTTGAAGGTTTTATGTTGACATGCTGAAATTCCCATGTGTTTTTGGACCCTGACGTCACGATCTGCGTGAGGGGTGCCACCGATTTTCAGAATTTCGAAGATGTCCCGAACGAAACGGCCAGAAAAATCGCGGACGCGTTCGCATTAATCGCCTCTGAGCTCTACTCCCTCGGAGAGGTGCGTATGAGAACGAGTGCGTCCTCTAAAAGGCCTACCGCACGCACAGTAGTCTACAATTCGTTCTTCGAGAAAGCCAGACCCCCAAAGCGAAAAACTCTATCGGGGCGAAGCCACAGGTAACTTGGCCACGGGTTCTCTTCCCCACCAGGAATGTTTCGCTGGATGCACAACCGTTGCAATTCACCCGCAATGGCTCCAAGACGATTCGAAATTGCCCAAAGCTCGAGGTCACTACCTGACACACCAGGGAGCCCAAGAGGAAACTCAGGCGAGCGAACTGCTTTGGGCATGCGACTATGCGGTGGGGCCCTACGCGCACGAGTGTAGCCCTCACAGGGCGTGCCAGCGTGCCGATCCACACGGCTCTCACGATTCCTGAGACGATCCAGCCTCTCAAGACGTGCCATGCCTCTGGGATTAGAAGATTGAAGTACTCACCATTTTTCGTGTCCCACTCTATCACGGCTTCGCCTCTGACGCGGAGGTGCCGACTGAGCTCGCCACAGCCTGAGAATACCTCCACGATTACCTTCGTGTGTCGGCAGCGTGAGGATCTCAGCGCAGCCCGAAGTACTTCTCGAAGGCGAGCTCGATACCAGCCGTCCTTCGCCGAATTGCCGCGAGGCGTGTCGGCTCCAGCTTCTGCAGCTCGAGCCCCAGGCGGCCGCGCTTCTCGTGCCGCGTGACGCTCCGAAATGCGCGCCACCCGCCGCGTTGCTGCACGGCGGCCAATGACCTGGCGCCCATGCTCCGGTCGTGGCTGGCGCCCTCTATGGCGGAGCGAGTAGAGCGTGCCCTGCAGCACCGAGGCACCAACTCCTATCAAGACCGTCTTGAAGGCTGCGGCGAAGTCCGCGCGCCCCAGGCCGAGGAGCGACTTGCCCGAGCCGCGGCGGCGCACCACTGCCTCCACGCAGCGGGCAAGCCAGCGCTGTCTCTCCAAGTCCAGCGGGGCGCTGATGTCGAAGGCATTCGTCTTGGATGGTACCAGCGCCTCCGGGGCCCGAATGACGAAGGTCAGCCAACGGGCGGCCCCCCACCCGCCTGGCAGCGGCAACGCCACATGGTCGGTCGAGAGCGCCAGCAACTCGGAAGGGCGCATGTAGGTCTCGAACATTAGCATGATCCAAATTGCAGCCATCCCCATGTTGAGGTCGAGCAACTCTCGGGCCGCAGCGGCCACCACCACCCAGGGCAGCGGGGGGCGCGAAAACTCGGGCCGCTGCTGAACCCAGCCCTTCAGCGCCTGCTGCAGGACAGAGAAGGCGGTGCGCAGCGAGCCCAAGGCAAGCCGCGGGTCTCCCCACAGCAGAGCGGGCCCGACCCGCTTCGCCGTTGCAGCCGCCCCGCCCTTGTCGAAGAGCCACTCCACGAACTCCACCAGCGTGCAATCCCAGTCCTCGCGCGACCAGGCGGAGCCAAGCGAGCAAGGCCCTCAGCACGCCCAGGTAGATCGTCTGAGTCTTCAGCCTGACCTTTTCGGCAGCCAGCCTGGGCAGCCGCGGGCAGAGAAGCCCCCGATCCTGCACAACCTGTCGCCGCACCTCTGCGTCGCCGCGCCGCTCGGTCGGCCCGAGCCTGCGCCGCGAGCCCGACGCTCGCCGGCCAGGGCCCAGGCACCCCGAGGTGGGCACCCTCGCCGCGCGGCCCGAGCCTGGCGTCGTGCGCCGCGCCGAGCGGGAACGTCTGCTGCTCCCGCTGGCTGGGCCTGACCCGGAACTCCAGGTGGACGGCGGAATCGGCGCCCGAGCCGTCAGCGTCCGCCTCTCCATGCACACCGCGCCCACGCTCGTACTTGAGCCCAGGCGGCTGGCAACGGCGGGAGGCCTGATCGCTGGGGTTCCACTCCGAGGGTAACCATCGGCAATGCAAGCGAATGTCGGCCGCGACGCTGACAGCGAAGATGACTCGGCAAGCAAGCAGAAGACGATGATGAGCTGCTCTCCCTTTTGCGAGTGCAAGCGTGACCGACATGTTGTCTCCCAGCACGAGGTGGCGCTGGCCATGCCGTCGAGCGTGCTTAGCTATACGCCTCGCGGCCCAACAGACAGAGGCGGCCTCGAGACAGTGAATCGCCTCACGCCGCCTCCAGCGGCCGCAGCCCACCACTCGCCAGGTAGCCTCCGTCAAGGCGCTCGAGCTGACCTCCGGGAACTCCGACACCCGCCGTCAGGATCAGGGCAGCACCCGGGGCCTACGCCACCTCCGCTTCCAAGGTGCGATCCCGTGGCGCGCCAGCGGCAGCAAGTGGCCCGCGGAACCTGGCTCGCTCGGACAGCCGCCCGCGGCTGGCGACCTCCTCGGGCCCCCACTCAGTCTCGACGACCCCGTATCCCCAAGGTGACGCATCATACGCTGTGACAGTCTGCGACCAGGGCTTGCCCATCTCACTGGCGATGCACGGCAACAGCGAGCGCACCCAGAACAGTTCTTGCTGTGCGCTGGCCCACAGCGCCTGGCGTTTCAGGCCTGAGGTCTCTGCAAAGGTGTAGCAAGCGGACAGCATGGCCAGCGCCTCCCGCCTCAGCACGCAGGCGGCTACGATGTGCCCCAGGACGCGCTCAATCTCATGGCCCGCCACCTTCCTGCCCTTGACCTCCAGCAGGTAGTCCAGAGCACCCATGAGCCGCCAGAATCGCTTAGGCTTGATGCGCCAGCGCCCCGTGCTCCTGTCCAGCTCGCACCCCAGCAACTCGGCCTTGCTGCCGTCCGTCGCTTCGATGGTGCTGACCACCCCGAGCTCCGCCAACGCCTCACGCATCACCTGGGCGGCCCTCTCGGCGCGCCATTGGTCCACCGAGGCCACGGCGAAGTTATCGATGTAGAGCACCTTTGCGTCCTCCTGCAGAAAGTCAACGCCCGGCCGCTTGTCAAGTGCCCAGCGGCCACTCTGCAGGGCTCTCTCCATGACGTGAAGATGCCCCTGCTGAATCAAGTGGACAGCCCAGCTCCAGCCCATTGGCACGACGCGGAACCTGAACTTGAGCTCCGACGTGCCTCGCGCCAGACCCAGTTGTCCCCGCATAGCAGCAGTCAAGTACTGAGACTTAATCGCAGGCATGGTGAAGTACCGCCTCGCCCAGGCAGGCAGCTCGCACTGATAGAAACACACCTCAACGTCTCCGGAGCAGAACCCAATCATGTCGGGCCCATCGTGCTCAATGGCGGCGAGAGCCTCGGGGCTGGCAAGTTCGGTGTAGGTCGGCTCGACAAAGTGAAGGTTGGCAGCGCGCGTGTCGGCGATCAAGCGAAGCTTGTTGTCTTTGCGCCGCACGAAAAACAATCCGATCTCCTCCAAAGCGCCCCCGGGGTCTGCCTCAACCACACCCGCGTCGAACAGATCCGACAGGGCGCGGGCGACATCGCAGCCCCGCCGTGCAAGCTTCGGGTCTAGATAGCGCAAGTTATCAGTACAATATTCAAACAAGGAGTGAACCTCAGCAGGATCGCGCAGTAAGCCGTGGCCAGCCTCCAGCATCTCGAGCAGCGGCTCTGGCACGATCGAGCCCATATCGATCGACCCGGCCAGCACCTCCACAGGGTAATGAAATCGTACCCGGCTGGTAGACTGCCCTGCCGCCTTCCGACTCAGACTCAGAGTGGCCAGGTCGAAGTCCCTGCAAAGCCTTCCACGAAGCATAGGTATCACGGTGCGAATCTGGGAAGCTCACCGAACCATGCAGGCCAGCGAGGCGGCGTACAGCGACGCGTTGGGCCTCTGTCAGCGCCGCATCAAGCGCAACTTGTCGCCCTTGACCTCCCAGCGTGTTCAAACTACGAAGACCGTCGCGCAACCGGCGATTCTGTCGATCACGCTTTGCACCACGACGCAGGGGGGAAGGTGATGACCCGAGTACGCCCGAGCCATATAACACGTAATCCAGCCCAACGCCCAGTGGGATCGGAAGCAGGTCGCCTGACGAGTCAACAAGGTCCATGATGCAAAACTGTAGCACCGGGTAGTCCACGGGTGCCTCCCCTGTGAGCTGTGACGAGCTGGCCGGGGGACTCCAGACGTCACCGCTGATCAATGTGAGGAGCACGAGCTAGCTCGTGCCCTCGGCGCCCTTGGGGGCCGTCTTCGGCCTCTTGGGCTCCTTCTTGGGGTTTGGATGGCCACTCGGGTTGCCGCCCTCCTGCAGGTTGGTGCACGCGTATGGCGCCGGAGCAGAGGCCCCTGAGGGAGCGACACCGGCGGCTAAGATCTCATCCTCGCGCCCCTTGTGCCTCTCCTTCAGGACCGCGGCCTCCTTCTGCAAGCGCTCCGCGACCCACTCCTTCAGCTCAGGGGCCACGAGCGCGGCCCCTCGCCCTCTCTGCTGCCCCAGGAAGATCTCACGTTCGGCGAGCCAGGCTGACCCTCCCACACCGCCTCCCCCCTCGGCTTCCCGCAAGGCCGTGCCGTAGACCTCTTCCCACAGCTGGTACCTCCTGCTCACCATCTCGAAGAAGACGAGGTTGGGAAGGCAGACCTGATCTACCTGGCTGGCACCCGACCTCCAGCATCTCACTGAGAAAGGCATGCTCGTCCACACCTGGATCCGCAACCGACAGGTTGAGGATCTGGCGCCACCAATGATGGCGTTGCATCGGCGTGAAGTTCAGCTTGACAAACTGCATGAGAAGCCACAGACACGTTCGCGGCCCAACGATCGGCCAGCCCTCAACGCTCGCGAGCTGCATCGTGTTGACCGCGTCGGGAAAGGGTCGACTCCGCTCGCCAGGGCCATCGACCTTCGCAGCCAGCGTCCGGATGTCCTGACCCCCACGCGGCGTGGGGTGAGAGACGGTGCCCGGCAGACCCACCGCCAGGGAGGTGCCATCAGCCAGCTCGAGCACGCCCCGATCCCCGAACGTCACCTTCGGTCGCACCTTGGAGATCCGGTCGCCAATCTGGTACCCCGCGCGGGCCTCGGCCGCCTCCCAGTCGCCCAGAGCACCTCCGGCCTCCACGACGCTCCGAGCGGGCGCATCAGCAGGAGGGGGCAGAGGCGGCGGCCCTGCGCCCCCTGGCATGCCCGCCGCAGCGACAGCTGGCGGGAGAGGCGAGCCATCGGCGAGCGCAGGCGAGCCCTCCTCAGCGCGGATCTGCTCTGCACACTCGCGAGCAGCACGAAGCAACTCGGGCTGACGTCTCCCAAACTCATCCATGTCGATGCGCAGCACGCCCTCGGGGGCCGACTGGCCGTAGGTCCAAGGCCTCGTCAAGGTCCTCATCGTGCAGATCGAAGTGCGGGGTCACCACAATCCAGCGAGTCCCCGCGAGGGGCTCAAGTAGGACGCGTCCGTGCCAATAGTTATCGGCCAGATCGTAGAAGGCGAGCACTCTGCCCAGCCGTACCAAGCGCTCGAGGGTACTCTGCTTGCGAGACATTTTCGGCGCCATCGGATCCACGAAGAACTGCAACAACAGACTTGACACGATATGACCCGAGCTCCTCACCAGCAGCGCCACGCACTAAGAAGCCCCCCGCGACTGCACAAGCAATCAGCACGGTCGCGAACACCCAATCGCTGGCGCCCCAGCCCGTTGAGGTGGTCTCCTGGCGTATGAGGTTCTCGGGGCCGCACCGCTCGAGCTGCCTCTGCAGCAGCGCGATCAAGCACGCGTCGACTCCGCCGCCCTCGAATCTGCACACGCAGCAGGTCGGGCCACCCCCGCCGCGGCCGAGCCACGTGCCCAGGGCCTGCCCGAGCACCGCTGAGCCCCAATGGAAAGCCTGGCCAACTACTTGGCCCGCGAATGCACCAGCGAGCGCGGCCATCCACCTCTGAAGGTGGAAAATTGTTTGAGAGCAAACGGCGACAGTCGGAACGCTCATCATTCCCGCGCATCACTTCCAGGGTCTGGGGCCTGCTCCATTCCAAATGGCATCTTGCAGGGTTCCTGCACCACACCAGGGGTGTGGCACAAATGGGATTTCAACACCTTGCGATTGCAGCTGAAATGAAGCTCCAAAGTCATGGTTTCGAGGATGACTCTATGCTAATCTGTCTTTTCGTGTCTCAATGGTCAGAGGGTGTCTTACGCTAAACTGTCACTTATTATGGTGGTCATCTCTAAAACTATTGAACAACATCGTGCGTGTGGTTGCTGGCTGTTGGGTGCAATGTTGAAAACATATCCTGGCGAAGGACCCAACCATGTGCCATTGTGAGTAGCGCAGTTGGGGGTACCGTCCTCGGTGAACCTCTCTCCTCTCTCTGGGGCCACGACGCGTGTCACGGGTGTGCCAACATTGGCACGGGTACGCCATGCGGACGCTGCCATCGAAACGAATGAGGGGTGCGCCGAAATGCAGGGTGTAACCGCGTGCGGGCGCTGCCACTAGGGCCTTTGGCGGAGCTCCATGTGGGGCCACGAAACGTGTGAGGGGTGCGCCGAGATCGAAAGTGGAACTGCATACGGACGCTGCCATTGGGGCCTTCCGTGGAGCTCCCTATGGGGCCACGAAACGTGTGAGGGGTACGCAGGGTTGGGGGTGGAACTGCATGCGGACCCTGCCACTGGGGTCTTCAGTGGAGCGCCTCTTGTGGCCACGAAACGTGTGAGGGGTGCTCCGAAATGGACGTGGAACTGCATGCGGACCCTGCCACTTGGGCCTTCGGTGGGGCTCCCTATGGGACCACGAAACGTGTGAGGGGTGCGCAGAAATAACAATGGAATTTCATGCAGACCCTGCCACTGGGGCCTTCGGCGGAGCACCCTAGGATGCCGCGGAACGTCCGAGGGGTTCGCCGAAAAGTGGGTGGAACTGCATGCGGACCCTGCCACTGGGGCCTTTGGTCGAGGACCCTATAAGGCCACGAAACGTGTGAGTGGCTAAGAAACTTGTGAGGTGTGCGCCGAAAAGTGGGTGGAACTGCATGCGGATCCTGCCACGGGGGCCTTCGGTGGGGCTCCCAATGGGGGCCACGAAACGTGTGAGTGACCAAGAAACGTGTGAGGGGTGCGCCGAAAAGTGGGTGGAACTGCATGCGGATCCTGCCACTGCGGCCTTCGGTGGGGCCCCCTGTGGGGCAACGAAACGTGAGGGGTGTGCCGAATTGGATGTGGAACTGCATGCGGACCCTGCCAATGGGGCCTTTGGTCGAGCACCCTATGAAGCCACGAAGCGTGTGAGTGGCCAAGAAACGTGTGAAGGGTACGCCGAAAAGTGGGTGGAACTGTATGCGGATCCTGCCACTGGGGCCTTCGGTGGGGCTCCCAATGGGGCCACGAAACGGGTGAGTGGCCACGAAGCGTGTGAGGGGTGTGCCGAAATGGATGTGGAACTGCATGCGGATCCTGCCACTAGGGCCTTGGGTGGGGCTCCAATGAGGCCACGAAACGAGTGAGGGGAATGCCGAAATGAATGTGGAACTGCATGCGGACCCTGCCACTGGGGCCTCTAGTAGGGCTCCCTATGGAGCCAAGAAGCGTGTGAGGGGTGTGCCGAAATGGAGGTGGAACTGCATGCGGACCCTGCCACTGGAGCCTTCGGTGGGGCTCCAATGAGGTCACTAAACGTGTGAGGGGTGTGCCGAAATGGAGGTGGAACTGCATGCGGACCCTGCCACTGGGGCCTCCAATGAGGCTCCCTATGGGGCCAAGAAGCGTGTGAGGGGTGTACCAGCATGGAGGTGGAACTGCATGCGGACCCTGCCACTGGGGCCTTCGGTGGGACTCCCTATGGGGCCACGAAGCGTGTGAGGGGTGTGCCGAAATGGATGTGGAACTACATGCGGACCCTGCCACTGGGGCCTCTAATGGGGCTCCATATGGGGCCACGAAACGTGTGAGGGGTGCAGAAATGGAGGTGGAACTGCATGCGGACCCTGCCACTGGAGCCTTCGGTGGAGCTCCAATGAGGCCACTAAACGTGTGAGGGGTGTGCCGAAACGGATGTGGAACTGTATGCGGACCCTGCCACTGGGGCCTCCAATGAGGCTCCCTATGGGGCAACGAAAAATGTGAGGGGTGTGCCGAAACTGAGGTGGAATTGCATGTGGACCCTGCCACTGGGGCCTTCGGTGGGCTCCCCATGGGGCCACGAAACGTGTGAGGGGGGTACCAAAATGGAGGTGGAACTGCATGCGGACCCTGCCACTGGGGCATTCGGTGGGGCTCCCTATGGGGCCACGAAGCGTGTGAGGGGTGTGCCGAAATGGCTGAGTGGTGCAGGGGGGAGGAGGAGGAGAGGAGAGGAGGAGCACGCGGGGCGCTGTCTCTTGAAAACGAGGGCCCAACACCACATGATGGTTGGGAACTATGTAATGTTGACCCTGACGTCGCGGTCTGCGAGAGGTGCGCGCTCGGTTTTTCAAATGGTTAGGGATGTACCCAGCGAGTCGGCCATAACAAAAGTCGGCCAGCGTAACTAATCGCTTGTGCGCTATACTCCCTCGGCCAATTGTTTCGGGTACACACTGCCATGACATGGATTACGGTTCCGTGGATCTGGCGCGTGGGCGCCAGATCCACGGCTCGGGGAAGCTACCCCCCGAAACGTGGCGCCAGTGACGCCTGAATTGGCAACGGAGCGCGCTGATGTTGCACGGAAGCGGGGCCCGTCGCCAATCCACGCGCCTTGATTCACTGGAACCACGCGCGCGCTTCGCGCGCTTTGGGTTCTAGCAAGCTCTCGCTGTAGTCTAAAA